CCTCCTTCCACCTGTTCTTGCTCCCCAGACGGATCCCTGCAGAGGCCGGGGCAGGCAGGGACCCCCGTGCACGTTGCCGGCTCCCTCAGGCGTCCTTCCATGGCTGCGGTACGCCCTCAGCAGTTTCAGGTGTACCAGCACGCCAGCCCCCAGCCGCACAGCATCCCTCCTGGTGCTGGCATGGCCGAGGCAGGAATGAGACCAAACTTCTCCCACGACGCTTCACCGGCACTTGTGGTCAGAGGAGGGGAAAGCAGAACTCCCTCTGTGTGCAGCTCCGTGATCCTGGATGCCAAAGACCCTCCAGCGAAGAGCGAGGCAGCTCCAAAGCCACCTGCGTCAGCCCCGCCATCCATCCTGGTGAAACCAGACACGTCCCGCAACAGCGCCGAGAAGGTACGGCCAGCGGTTACCGCTGCTCCAGAGGGTCCCCATCCTCCTGGGACTGGCACTCAGCCTCAGCCCAGTATTGCCCAGGGCCGACACCCTTGCGGGCTTCTCTCCATTCCCACCAGGTTTTCTTCTGATGGAAATTACTGGGATTGGTACCTGCATTAAGAAATCGGATATTTGTGTTGTTGACTCTGCTGCTCAGACGAAGCCCTAAAGAATTATTGCCTTTAGAAAGGCAAGATGCTGCAGGGACTCTTTCAGTGTAAACCGATGTTCAGTCACCATCAAATCTTGAGACTTTTCTGAGGTCTTAAATTAGGGAAGAATCCCAGCAGGGTCCCTGAGAGTTTGGGAGTGAATGAGCGAACGCCACAGACCTGGGTGTTAGACCATGCGTCAGGCTGGTCTCTACAGACCTCCCCCCATCTCCCTCGCACTGCTTTGGCTGAGCCATTCGGAATGGAAATTTCTTTCCCCTCTGGCAGCCAGAGGGAAATTTCATAAAGATAAAATCATTCTGCAAATTGCCCTAGTGATGACTTTCCCTTCCCGTGGCACCCAAAGCCTAAATCATTCCACAAGCCCCTGAAAGCCCAAGTGACCTCAGAGCTCCCGGGAGGAACATCATCAGCTGGAGAGAAACCGCGGGCTCTGCGCGAGGGGCACGGCAGGACGGGCCACCCCCCATCCTCGCGTCGTGCCGCCACATGCTCTT